GTTAAAACTACTGTGTGTTTGTTAAGTTCCATGTTTAAGACATTTCAAGAATTTTTATTTTTGTGAAAGTTGAGATGTGATTGAGAGTTATTTTTTAATAGTAACAGTCAGGCATGAATTCGCATGATTCAGATTTTCACTGTGTTATGTACATTTCTCTACAATTACCTAATAATTGTGGCCATGACAAAATATTCAAAGTTGGGCCAAACACTACACCCCGCCGAGCGGTTGGTGGTACAGCTAGTGATAATAATAGAGGGTAGGGTTTGTTCTTGTTTCATTTCATTACATCATCATTATTATTAGTAATAAAAATTTCGAACAAATGTAAAACTACGAACTCCCACCAAATTTAAAACCCTTTCATTAAAAAAAAAAGAACTTTCTTTTTATAGATGAATAATTTAAAATACTATTTTAGAATTTAAATTATTTCATGTTATAAAATTTTAATTCTTTAATAAGAGGTAGTTCTTTAATATTAAAAGTCCCCTTCATTTAAAAATTTTTATTTTATAATTAAAAAGATAAAATAACAAACTCTTAATAATTTATAAAAAATTTACTTTGTTTTTACTTCTATTATTATCCTTCATAAATGTAGTGATAAGATAAATAATTAAAATTAAAGTGAATTTTTTTCTATAGTTTACAATAATATAATTAATTAGATTAAATTTCGAGTTAAAAAAAAGAATTATTTTATAATAAAAAAAAATTCCTAGTCGATATGGTTTTGAGAGTGTAATGATACTTAAACACCAAAAATAAAATTAGGAGACACAGCTCCAAAAGCATTTTACCTGTTTCTACACAATGACAATAATTTTCGATCTTCTATCAAATTGAGCAAACGAAAGAGAAACAATACAAAAGACATATCTATATCTATATATATATATATATGTATGTATATATGTCCTGCTGTTAAACCGAATGCTAGACACAGAAGTTGTTCAATTCTCCAAAAACTAAACTTAAACCAAACTCAACATATGTTCAAACTTTTTAAACTAGAAATGTACCACTATAAGCGAAGGACTCATCACTGTATGGATGGAGGGTACTTCCCTTCGATGCCTCCTCATAACTTGACGAACTTTTGGCTGACTCAGCATTGGGATTCATCTCGGCAATCTGCATGATGTTTTCAATCTCTTTTACCACTTCACCCATTGTAGGCCTGTCAACTCCTAATTCTTCCACACAGCTCATTGCTAGGTCCACAAACTTTTCTAAACCTTTCAGGCTTGTATCTGCAATGGCTGGGTCAAGAATTTGATGAAAACTATACAAGCCTTTTGTCTTATTCATTGCCATTCTCACCTCTCTTACAATATACTTCCCTCGCTCTATTGGTCTTCTTCCAATTACCAGCTCCAACAAAAGCACCCCAAAACTATAAACATCACTCTTCTCAGTTAGTTGCTGAGTCATGTAATATTCAGGATCCAAGTAACCTTACACCAATAACAAAAACCACAAGTATGGTCAAGTTCTTCTAGCAAAGTAAAGAATCATCACTAAAATAATTAAACCTTATTATCCCACTGAAGTGGGTGTATTAAAACACTCACCATTGTCCCTTTGACTTGAGTGGTAACATGACCTTTTTCACTGTCACTTATAAGCTTGGAAAGACCAAAATCGGCAACTTTAGCAGTAAGGCGCTGATCCAATAATATGTTAGTCGATTTAATGTCCCTATGTATGATGGGAGGATTGGCAAGTTCATGCAAATATGCCAGGCCTCTAGTTGAACCAAGGGCTGTTTTGAGTCGCCTAGTCCAATCCAGTCTGATTCTTGACTTTCTTGTAGATAGTATGAAACTTTCCAATGAAGCAAATTAAATGGACTTTTGCTAAACGTAAGGATAGCTTGTTATCCGAGAAATGTGAAGGGTATAACGTAAATTCATTTGTTATAGATAAAATGTAAAATAACTAGTTAGAATCATTAGACAGTTGCAAAGAAACAAGTTGTAAAAATTAAATTATATTCACAAAGCCTTTTGAGACTTATCATTGCTCTTTCAACAATAGTACATATAAATTATAAAAATACTGTCTATATAACTCATTAAGTACTTCACGCTGGGTCAAGAATAGAAGAAATGGAGGAACATACCTGATAGAGTTTCATACAAAGAGCTGTTTGGAATATATTCATATATTAGCATTTGTTCATCTCGCTCAAAACAAAATCCTAATAGACTGACAACATTCTTATGATGGACTCTAGATAGAAGTTCAATCTCTGTTTTGAATTCCAGCCCACCCTGCATTGATCCTTGCTGGGCTTGTTTAATTGCAACTAGCTCTCATTGGGAAGAGCTCCCCAGTAAACCTATAATTGATTTAAGATTGAAACTTTAGTAATCATGTAATGTAATGTGACACATAATAATTGAAGACAAAAAATACAAATTTGAGAAAAGGAACAACAGTGTTGGAAAGTTGACAAATTTGTAATTTGCTTCAGTGATAACCTGCTGGATTCACAAAAATTTGAAGCTGAATTGATTATGTTAATCATATCATGTTCATGATTTACTTAGCAGCATAGCATTGATCATACTGCATAGTTGCCGAAAATCCATGGGGAACTTTTCTAATATAAAAGAGAGACCTTGAGTATTCATTGATTATTTTCCAATACAAAAGTTCCAACTAAAACTACTAATGTTTTTTTTTTTTTCAGCAACTAATCTTTTCTTTTCCAGCAACTAAAACTGCTATTTTTTATTGGAATAATAGGTAAATAAGCCCCTTTAAATAAAATTTACTAGCAAATAAGTCCCTAATGAAAGTTTGGTGGTGAATCCACCAAACAATTTACAAATAACAGCAAATCTCCCCAAAGTTGATGGACATTGTTGACTGACCTTAGTCAGCCTATCATACCCCATCAGATACATTGACCAATATAAATTAACAATTTCTATCACCTTGAGGAGATTTGCAGTTATTTGTAAGTTCTAGTGTGGATATGCTACCAAAGTTTCATCAAGGGCTTATTTACTCCATATATATGTATATAAAAATGTTAAATGTATGTATGTGCCTATAGTAACTAAGACCAATACATGCAAGTTGTAAAATCATTAGTTCAAATGAAAAGGGGTTAGTAACACAATTTTATTTAAGAAAAATCATTTTACTTTTAGGGAGAGAGAGGGAGAAGCACCTTTCCATAATCCCCGAATCCAATATCGTTGACCTTTGAAAAGTTATTTGTATATTTCTTAAGCTCCTCAAAAGAGAAACAACTTGAAACTTTTAATTGAGGAATGCTTCTGTTGCTTTTCTTAACATCCCAGTGTGCTGCATTTGTACTAATAAGTCAAGAAACCTCAAGTTTGTGTGCAATCAACCGGAATATGCTACAATAAATAAATGCTAAACATACCAAAAGGCTTGCTCTCTAGGCTTACTCTTTCTGCCTTCTTCTTTTGATGAAAAGCATAAACCCCAGCAAGCAGTGAAAGTAGTAGGAGCACAAAGCCACCAATAGCCGCTCTAATAATGATGCCAATAGTTGATTTTTTGGAGATTTTAGGGGCTAAAGAAACCACACATGACATAAAAGTGTGGATCAACATCAAATATAGGTAAATTTAACAGTTCATTATGGTTCTATAATAATTGTGTAAATAACTGAAAAGTGGTTGTAAGCATCACCAAGGAAGAAATAAGGTCCATCAAGATTAGATGGTGGCTTGTAAGACTGGTTGCTAAATATAAATGCAATTGTAGAAATCCCTGTTCGATTGAATCTATCTTGGCCATATGGAAAGATACTAAGGTGCAATAGAAGATAGCTAGAAAGAGCCATTATTGATTACTTAGTGAAACTGAATCAACAGGAAGACTGTTGAACTGGAAAAACTATGTCAGATTTGTCTGTAGAGCCATATATATGTTTGAGTTTTCCAAGTTTGAGAATAAAATTCCTCTAAAAAATAGAATTCCTGTATATGGATATGCACATCTGCATTTGGGGCTATAAACCTGGTCTAAACTAGATGTAGCAGGCGGGCAGCTGTTGGGAGGGGTAGTATACAAGGAAGTGGAATTTGATTGTGGAACTACAAAGTAAGTTTTTGTTTCTCCTGTCTCTTCACAAATGGGATCACTAGCAAGTCTGCATAAATTAATTAAATCTATGGAGCCAAGAAAGACATTCATAAGCTTTAACACTTAAAGAGAATAGATCTAAAGGCAATTTGACCTCCAAGTAAAAAGAGTCAAGTTCTTAAGCAAAAAACAAATTAATGGAGAAAAAAAAGAGCCAGAAGAAATGATTCTCTCACCTTATCTGAATGTTGTTTCCTTCTGTTCCATTGAACTCAGTAATCTCATTATTTTGCAAATCTATGAGGCTTAGCTGGTTGCTAAATTCCATGCCTATAGACAAGGCGCTAGTTAACCCGTTGTGTTTTAGCCCCCTGTACAATGTGACAAAGATAGAAATAATTAGCCTCCATCTATCATCTCCATGGTTTGAATCGACAAGATATGTTTCACCAGAGTTGTGAACATCCAGGACAAGGAATGGTAGTGCATGAAGTGAAGCTGATACTCACACAGTCTGCAAATTTGGAAGGTTGAAGAGGTCAACAGGAACTTCACCTTGAAGTTGAGCATTTTCCATCTTTTTGCCTTGCAAAGAAATCACTTGTTCTCTTAACTTGAAAGGAAACCCATCAATGTGTATGTATACAAGCATATTGGCATGTGTCCATGAACATGCAGAAAACAAAGAGAGAAGGCAAGGAAGAGAAGGAAGGAAAGAGGGAGGGGGAGAAAACACATTCAGGGATGGATTTATTGTAACATTTACTAGCCTGATTAAGTTTTACACATCATATTGCTGCTAACAATATCATTGGGGATGGAAAGATATTCTTGCTAATAGTTTACCAAAACATATGGCCCTCAATGAAGTAAAAGATTAAAAGGGAGTAATTGGGTTCTTGCATAAGGTTTTTTAAAACCCAATTCAGCCCCCCTCTTGGGTTGCCATCTGGGCCAACAGAGTATTGTCAACTCTAACCTTAATATCTTTTGGTAATAAGAAGAAACTGAACTTTTTTATTCCATTTTTAATAGCCAATAACTCTTTATGATTTGAATGATATCTAGTTTTACATCTTTAAATGTATCACTGGCATATCTACAAACCTTTTCTTGAGAATTTTTTAAAGTTGCTCCCTAATAAAAATCTGAGGCATCACATTCTAAAATTAACTCTTCATCTTCTTTAGGCAATTGCAGCCTAGGAAGGTTTTTGTAATATTCTTTTATTCTTTTCACATGAGTAGCTTTTTCTTGAGTAACTTTTGCCAAGGATGTCTTAATTGAATTAGGTTTTGAATAAACTGCTCTGCATAATTGAGTTTCTAGAAACCTCTGAATTTGTTCTTTAGATTTTAATTTATCTGGGAACATCGAAATTTTTTCACTAATGTGAGGTTGTAATTCTATTTGCGTGGAATCTATTGTTAATCCAAGGAATTTAATTTTGGTTTTTCCTATCTCTACTTTCTTTTAAGAAAGTAATATTCCTTATTTCTTGCATAAATATGCAAATTTCTTAAGATGACATAAATGTTTTTTCTCATAATCAGAGAAGATTAGTATGTCATTTACATAAGCTATGCAAAATTTCTTGATGGAAGAAAATACATTATCCATCCTTTGATATATTTGAGGCGCATTTTTTAATCCAAAAGGCATTATTAACCACTTATAGTGTCTTGTAGGGGCACTAAAGGCTATTAGTGGGATACTGTCAGGAGTTAGCTTAATTTGCCAAAATCTTAATTTACAATCAAACTTTGAATATATTTTCTTTCCTCTAATGCTATTGATTAAAGTTTCTTTATGTGGTAAAAACTAACCATCGAATTTAGTTTTGCTATTAAGTTGTTTATAGTTGACAACCATTCTAGTTTTTCCTCTTTTTAATTCATTATGATTTCTTACCATAAAGGCAGGATTATTATGCGGACTCTTAGAGGCCTATATAATTTTTTGGGCCATTAACTCTTGAATTTGCTTATCAAATTCTTCTTTATCTTCAGGGCTGACTCTAATGATAGTTGTTGGGCCTATCAATTCGATTGTAGCATCAATTTTATCAACTTCCTATAGTTTTGTAAGATCTTCTCCATAATTACTTCTTAATTCTTTTGAGATAGATTCTGAGGTTATTTTTTCTTGTGCTTTTTATTATTCCACAATGCTAACACTGGTTTTTTAATCTCTTTTGATTAAGTTTTTCTATTATCTTCACCACGTTGACTGTGAAAATTTAATGGTTCTGTTGCTCTAGTATAAACATTATAAATTCTGGAGGTGTAAAGCTAATGTCCACAAGGTGTATAAAATTTGACATATGATGCAGTTTGAACATACTGCTTGAATTGACTTAGGAAATTGTTTCCTGATGAGCTAAATTTATATACATATTAATAGGGAATTTTTACTTTGATATTATTGATATTTGGATGAGTTTTATGGGATTTTGTTTGATTTTACATAGTTTTCATTCTTTGTGTAGGAAAGGATTTAATTACAAAAAATCATACTTTTTAGATGTAAATTGAAGAGATCAGAGACTTGAGGATCAACTTGTGCAGAATCCAGAAGTCAGAAACCAAATCTGCTATTTTACCATTGAAGAAATTGCAAAAGTAGAGCAAAAACCCGACACGGGTGTAGTGTCGACACATGATCGGGGTGTCGACACCATGCGTTAAACGTCCAGAATCAAATTATGTTTCCTATTTTGTGTCAACATGTAATCCAAAGTATCAGCACCACGCGATCAGCATCCAAAATTTAGTTTCCTATTTCTATTCCAAGTCCTACTTCTATTTCAATTAGGGTTTCTAAAATTCTATAAATACCCATCTAAATTCAGAATTAAAGGAGAGTTTTGAGAGGCTTAGTGGCAGCCCTCTTTTGGGCATTATTGGAGATTAAGATTGAGGTTCCATCAACAATAGAAGATCAAGGAGTTCGATTTCCTCAAATTGGTTTTTGTTTTTCCTTGGGTTTTTATCTATTGTTTGATATTTGAATGTTCATAACTTTGATTTCATATTTTATTCTTGTTATTATGAACTGATTTATTCTACTAGGGCTACGATGTAGTCTAATCAATTCAATATGAATTTAGTGATTTTATGCTTTCAATTAAAGTTATTTGCATGAGGAGTTTATATTCTTGAACTTAATACATTGGAAGTCTGATCACCTTTCAATTGATCTAGTGATTTATGCATGAACTTGAGAAAGAATTGCGTAGATTAGACCAATAATAATATAAACCGTGTGCTAGACTATGAGACCGAGAGGTAATTAACTCACATGTGGTAGTGGAGGAAGAGAAGAGAGCTAGCTCCCCCTTCTTAAGCTAGAGGTTTCCATAGAATTTAATGCTCATAAGTTTGTTTAAAATTATATAGAGATATGATTAATTTAACAAACAAGTGAAGGATTAACTTAACTTGAGAAAGCTAGTTAATTAATTTAGGGAAATCCACCATCACATGCAATAACACTCAACAATTTGGTAATCCAGAATTTATATTGATTGATTATGGTAAAATCAATGCCTTAGTACCTCATATTTTGGTTAGATTTAATTTAATTGTTATTTTCCTTTTATTATTTTTTTAGTTAAACTTTCTTCCCATTGGGTTGTTCAAATAAATTTGGATTAATTATTTTGGTACTTAGTTAGATACAGTCCTCGTGGGTTCGACACTCTTCTCATCATTATATTACTTGGAGCCACTAGTATAGTTGTTAGGGTGATTTTAGTGCATCATTTCCTAATAAAATATCATTCCCATGCTCGTTACTTTCACAGACTCGAGAAATTATAACTTCAGTTCTACCAATTACGACAGTAACTCTTTCTATTTTTGTTTTATATTGAATAATACTTCCATCTATAGCTACACCTTTCATAATTTAAAAGGTGTTCCTCCAATAATATTTTGGGAATACATTGGTTTTGGCTAACTATATGCTAGACCCTATATCTATAAAAGCATGAAAGAATTCTGTTTTGTATTATTCATATTTGATTCCAATGGATATGTATACACTATAGATACTAGTCTTCATAGTATCAAGGTATAACCACTTCTTTTTCACTTAAGGTAATTTTTAGACAATGTTCTTGGATATTATAGGGCTGTACTGATGTTAAGAACGTATTTCCTAGCATTAATTCTATACTTGCAGTCATTTCTGTTTCAACATGAGTTGTTATAGTGATTTCATGTTGTATCTTATTCTTATTCTTATCCTCTACTTTAAGAGATACCTTAACATATTCATGTACTATGATCACTGCACCATTAAAGTTGTAATAAGTGTATGGCTTAGTGAGTCCAAATCTTGGTAGGTGTGGGGTCATATCACTATGAATATGTGTTACTCCTGCTCCTGTATCTATTAGGATAGAAATGGGCTTAATTTAACAAATCATCTACTAACTTTCATATTTTTTTCAGTTTCGTCTATCATCTTTGCATTCTTCCAATCTTGTCTACTATCTTTTAGATTCATTTCAATTTTGTCTAGACTGTTATCTTTGACGGAAAACTTCCTATTCTATTAGAGAACAGTTAATCCTCTAACTATATTTTTTTTGATCTCTTAGTCCTCAAATTTATATTTACTATAAAAACAGCTTTTATACTTAAAATTATTGTTTCTTGGCTCTGATATCAGAGTTTTCTATGGGTTTTCAGAACTTAACTCAGACTACTACTGACTAATGAATAGCTGGTATGTTAAGCTCAGTTAGTGTGAAATTAAATCTACTAGACTGCTAACAAAGATAATTTTTGCTTGGCCTTTTTTAATCTTTTTAGATCTTCATTTAAATTGAAACTGTTTGCTTCAACTTTCTGAGATTCTTAGATAGATGATATTCATCTTCAATATTACTTATTTTTTTCTAAAATTTTTACAATTTTATTTCTATAATATTCGCATTGCTGCTCATAAACTATCTTATCTACAACCATTTCTTGAATAAAATCAAGCATCTTAAATTATAATGGTTTAATATAAAATGGATTTTTCTATTCAAAATATAAGAGGTCAGGTACTATTTCCCCATCATTTCTCATATCACAAATAATCTAGTGTTAAAGAATAATAAAGTTGTTTCTATGCCCACCTTGCTTCTGCATGATAAAATAAATGAGTTAGAATTTTACCTGAAAATCCTTTGGACTAGCCTTCAGTCAAGCAAATGCTTCCTTCGTCCAACCCTTAATGCCAAACTCAGGCTAAAATAGGTATCCGAACAGGACAAGTGACTTCACTGCTGCCTTAGTTTCTTTAAGATTCTTCTCATTTTATTTTATGATAGAAATAAAGAAGGATAGAAACACAAGAATTATTCTAAAACATAATTTTATTTCTGAGAAAAGAAAGGAAAAGTTCCCTTTCCTCTTGAAGGGTGTTTACAGATGCATAGTAAAAGGCTTTCAGATAAGGTATTTGGATGTTCAAATGCTCGATACCTGTTACAGCTTATAGGAGATTTTTTATAGCACTCCTTAGAATCTTTTCTTTCGTCATTGTTGACGATTAAAGTTTACATTATTGTCTGGTGATCCAAACTTACTTCTTGCTTTTGCTAAAGTAGATTACA